GGATTCCTGTGATCACAAAACATTTATTTAGAACTTCAGAATCTAGACTTTTCTGTGCATTTGAAAAATATTGTTTTAGACCAAATACAATTTAGCATTTACTCAAGGAGTTCTTTTCAAGTTCAAGAAGATTCTACCATGATCATGTTTCATGATCAATCAAAAACATATAATCCTAACTTGCAATACAAGCACTTTCCCATATAAAATGGTTGTCTATAAATAACTCTCCTTAACCTATCTGCAGTTCAGCCCTTCTACCCAAATTTTAGGTTAATGTCTTGGTTTATAAAACCTGTGCTAAAAATTACACAGACACATGATATAGTTATATATACTTAGGGGGTATTATTGCTTTATGAAACAGTCTTACATTCACTGAAATTGTAAATGACTCCATTAGCATTCCAGATTTTTTCATTTTCTTTCTCATTTCTTACATTATACAAATGTGCTGTATTGTGAGAGAGAGCGGGCCAGGAAGCCATCTCTCTGCAGCTATCGACATCAACTTGGCATTAAAGAAGCCTCTGGCAGTCTGGTGACTACACACAGTGCAGGGTATATTTCTTCTACATTAGAATATTGCTACAAGTTCTACTTATTCTTATTCATAAACAAATTTTATCATATCTTCTTTAACTTATAAGTTCAGATGTAATATTAAAAGTGCCCAAAATATCAATCTTTTTGTCATTGTCATTGTTGATACATATTTTTAAATTTCCTCCAGTATATCATCATCATAAAATAGTTTGGCCTTATGGTCCAGGCCTTACACTAACTAAAAATTAACTTCCTGTATGTATAGCATTTCTCAGTATAGGCTCTTGATTTAGAGGTAGTCAACAACGGTGACTATTCATTTTCTACTTTGCATTTAAGCCATTTGGATAAATTCTTCTTATATTATTTAAATAATTTGAATCTTTCTTAAGATTTTTTTGATTTATTATATTGTTTTTATTGAATTTATTTATTTATTTTACGTCCTTGTCACCGTTTCCCCTCCCTCCTCTCCTCCCAGGCCCTTCCCCCCAATCCCCTCTCTGTTCCCAACCCCTAATACACTCCTCCCCCATTTCTGTTAGGAGTCCCTTAAGAGGACCAAACTACATAATTTTAACACATGTACAGAGAGCCCAGGGCAGTCCCATGCAGGCTCCCTGGTTGTTGCTTCAGTCTCTGTTTGTATGAGTGTGGGCTCATGTGTGCCACAGTGTGTGTGTGTGTGTGTGTGTGTGTGTGTGTGTGTGTGTGTGTGTGTGTGTGTAGATCAGAGGACAACTTTTGGGAGTCAATTTTCTCCTTATACCATGGCAACTCAGGTCATCAGGCTTGCATTGCAAGTGCTTTCTACCTGCTAGTCTATTTTACCAGATCCCTTAAGGCTGACGATAAAATTCATTTGGATAGCCATTAGCTTCTTAGCATTTCTATAATTTAAAAGCATCCTTTAAATCACGTACAGTCAACCCTGATAACTCTATACTCCCTTCATTCTCATTTGTTCCGTTATTTAATTAAAGGTCAAGTGCTAGCATGTAACAGGAACTAAGCCAGGCCCTGCGCATTATAGACACAGCCCAATGCAGAACTGAACTTCTTTATGAACTCTGTATTTGATCATTCATTTCTGGACCCCAGATCCTGTTATCAGTGGTTTAACAGGACCTAACCTAGGATTACAGTTTAGAGACATTGCCAGCATTAGTGAGTTCTCATTCTTTTTAAGACTGTTACACAATCTCATCCACCTTCAGAGAACATTTTCTTTGAAATCTTGCTTAGTTTAGGCTAACTACCTAATGACTGCCACTATCTTTTGCCTCTACCTGTTGTAAGTTTTAGATGGCCCCCCTCACCTTTCCCCCAGTCCACCCCCCATTCCCACCTCCTCCAGGGCAAAGCCTCCCCCGCGGACTGAGATCAACCTGGTAGACTCAGTCCAGGTAGGTCCAGTCCCCTCCTCCCAGGCCGAGCCAAGCGATCCTGCATAGGCCCCAGGTTTCAAACAGCCAACTCACGCAATGAGCACAGGACCCGGTCCCACTGCCTGGATGCCTCCCAAACAGATCAAGCCAATCAACTGTCTCACCCATTCAGAGGGCCTGATCCAGATGGTGACCCCTCAACCATTGGTTCATAGTTCATGTGTTTCCATTTGTTTGGCTATTTGTCCCTGTGACCATGGTAAATGAAGACCACATGAGAATAGGAAGAAGCAAAGTACTAGAGAGGCCCACAGAAATCCACAAAGATACCCCCACAACAGACTGCTGGCAATGGTCGAGATACAGCCCGAACTGACCTACTCTGATGGGTGATGGGATGGCCAAACACCCTAATTGTCGTGCTAGAAACCCCATCCAACTACTGAGGTATCTGGATGCAGAGATCCATGGCTAGGCCCCGGGTGGATCTCTGAGAGTCCAATTAGCGAGAAAGAGGAGGGTTTATATGAGCGAGAATTGTTGAGACCAAGGTTGGATAAAGCACAGGGACAAATAGTTTTTAATAACACTTTCATCATCTACATTGCATGTTTCTGACTCAAAACCATGAGTACTAAAATTAATATGAACCTTAAGACTGTTAAGACTGGACTTGGACTAAACTAAAGTATTAAAATCAACTCTATGATGGTACTATCCATCTTCTAATTTAATGGATACTTTCTGGGGCTCCATTATGCTACAAAACACCATGACAGACTCTACATGTGCTCCACATGTTTGGTATAACTAAGTAGTTGTTAATTATTATCATGCACTTATTAAATCTAAAAATCAACTTCTATCTCTTAATAAGTTGCTATGTTTATTTCAACATAATGCATCCTTAGTCATAGCTTCTAAGTTCCTAAGGCAAAGAAAAACATGCTTAAATTATGGTCATTGCTCAAAAGTTTGTCAGTATTACTATGCATTAATTTTGTTGAATCATGTAGCACTTACCTTGTTTATTAAAAACATTATACATTTTAAATCATTTTAATATATTTAAACTATGAAACATTGATCATTTGACAGCAACATCATTAGGTATTAAACATAAAAACATTTTGATATTTATTTTCACCCAATATAAATGAGGAGGCTAGTTTTTTTAATTTTTAGTATATTTCCTCATATTTTAATACTCATTGTGATAAGGTATATTTTAATCCTCTTTAATTTCAAGTCTCCAGACAATGTCCAAGTCAATAAAAGTGTCTGTTGTGAGAGGTGCACCCAAATTAAATTCTGATTAAAACTTATCTACTATGTTCCCTAGGTTGAACAAAGATCCCATTTGTGATGTCTGAAGATGACTGAAAATCTTTATATTTGGGAAGAACTTTTTCTAATTTGTAACATTAATATTCCCTGCTAAGACCTGTGAACCGATCTTTCATTTTTCTGGAATGAAACTCACTGATTCCTCACAATTCTTGCAAAAATGTGTTTACATACTTGAGAACATTGCAAATTTTCTCTGCTTCTTTTAAGTCATTAAAGATTGAGCATCTCATTTGTTAGATTGGGGACACAGATTTCATATTGCTTTGCCAGTGACAACAGTTACAGAATTTTAAAACAAATGGCATCCCTTGCACGGCTGGTGTGTTTAAGAAAAATGAAAAGATTCCCTTGAACTCATATCCAGGTTGTTCAATTTTTACAGGAAGGATACACAGTAAATAGGAAAAGGGAAGCTATGACCTTGATTAAAATAACAAAGAAAATTGTTATTTTAGTAAGAAAGTTAATGCCTTTAACATTTTTAAAAATTAAGAAAGAAAGGAAAAGAAAGGTTGTGATTTGGCGGTTAAAAATCAAGCTTGGTTTTAGAGGGAATCTGTGAGACAAATTGAAAAGTCTACTGAGTATGAACAGTGATGCAGTTCTGATGTGGCCAATTCATTGCATTTATGAATGAGCACAGAAACTGAATGCAGAAACATCGAGGATGAATGTAGAGGGAGAGCAGGAGCCCCTCTTGCCCTTTACCCCACCCCCCATTACCGATGTGGCGTGGTCCTCAAAAATTGACATATTTTTTCTGAGAGGCCAATGTCTATACAGGAAGTCTAGACTCCTGATGGATAACCTCAGGCTTATTACTATTCTGGAAAAGCCCCTTCCCTTTTTCCATTACATTTGATGTATCTGCTCTTCTGTTTTCCCTCTGCTGTATCCAAACAAACACCTTCCTCCTTGCTCTCATACAACAGCTATTAATTGTAATTGTTTTCTGCTCTATAAAATGTTTGTTTTTAGCAGTTTCCCTGCAATAGCATAAGCAGTATCAAACAAATACAATATGTTAACAAAACAGCCCAAACAACTCTACTGAGAAGTTTGTCTAACCCTGACCATTGCATCCATTTAGATTTCTAATTCTTTTTGTTTGTTTGTTTGTTTGTTTTTTGAGACAGAGTTTCTCTATGTAGCTTTGGAATGTCTCCTGGAACTCACTCAGTAGACCAGGCTGACCTTGAACTCACAGAGATTCATTTGCTTCTGCCTCCCAAGTACTGTGATTAATGGCATGCACTACCACTGCCTGGCTTTATCTTCCTAAATTCATTTGTGGCATTAACTAGCAGTACTAATTAGTTAGAAGCATATTACAGGAAATGCACATATGAAGTATTTTTTCCCATTCTAGTTCTATGTGTCACATAACATCATACACATATAACTTGTGTAATAAAACAAAATATAAGTGTTTATATTTTTTACATCTTTTCACAGAACTAAAATTTCAGTAGTTCCTTAAAAATTGATCTTCATAATTTTCATTTAAGATTTTACATCTTAAGAGCATTGTTAGATATAATTTTATATCCCAGATGAAGACACAGTGAATTCTTTTTAGGTTAGAGAAATATGTTTTTTGTGGCATTGATAAAACTATAACAGAAATCTCATGTTTATGTTTTTATTATAGGTTCCTATATACATATATTTATATATATATATACATATATATTTCTTTTATTATGTGTTTTAAAGGGCCACATAATAGCATCCTGTGATGCCCGTGGAGTTACAAAGCTGTGGGACTTCCGGAAGCTCATTCCAATTGTGTCCATTGATGTAGGTCCAAGTCCCGGTAATGAGGTGAACTTTGACTCAACAGGTAGGGTCCCTTTGTTTCACTCTTGTCACCGAACTAACATAATGTTTTGCTTTTTTGAAATGCTTTTTTTATTCCCTTAAAGCTTTTGGTAATATTTTATTTGTAGTTTTCTATTTTGAATATACCAGCTGTGGTATTTGTAGTTTATCAGTATCATGAATTTTATTACAAAAGAATTATATTGATCACAGAAGGAAATAAGTAACAAAGAAGAGAAGTGATACTAGCGTAGACACACACAAGTTTGCTGACAGCATCATGTGTACCCTTATAGCCCACATCCCATAGAATCCTTCCCAAGGTAAGCTAAATGGGCTTCCTGAAACACAGGGAACTGAGTGGAGAAGAACCAAAATTGTATCAAGATGAACTTGAAACATTTTAATGGGATAGCTTAATTATAAAAAGTTAGGCTGGGTGGTGGTGGCGCATGCCTTTAATCCCAGCACTTGGGAGGAAGAGCCATGCAGATCTCTGTGAGTTTGAGGCTAGCCTGGTCTACAGAGCTAGTCCACGACAGGCTCCAAAGCAACAGAGAAACCCTGTCTCAAAAAAAAAAAGTTAATAAATTTCTCAGAAATGTTCTAAAATTTATATATACGTTCATCTATTATTGTAATTAAGGGTTTGTGATCTATAAAATTACTTGTTTGTAGCATTTTTCCTGAAATAGTGTACAAATTATCAAGCAGATAAAATATTTTATCCCTACTGATGATAGAGTGGAATCTGCTGTTAAGCAAAGTAATTCCAATCATCCACTTAGAAGATTAAAGTACTTCTGTGTCTTCATATTTAATGTTAGCTTCTGTTAGATGAGAAGTGGACAGTAGATCTTCCCTTTGATAGTGTGATTCATATTTAAGATTTTGAACTTTTGGGAATTCCTCAAAATCTTTGCATTATTTGTAATAGATTAAAATTTTGATATGACAGGGTTTCCATTGTTAGGGAAGAAATAAATATGTAAGAAGAAAAGATAATACTTTATTTAAAAACGTAGTCAATATTAATTCTTTGCTCCAGAATCATAAGTATACCAAGAGTAATTCTGGAACCACAAGAGAATTGCTGTGTGTTTCTTGAAGGCGGTTTGATGTTATTACCATTAAACACCTGAAAATGAAAATGATAAGTTATTTTCTTAAACGGTATCTTGTATTTTCTTTGCATATGAACATGTGAATGATATTAGAAACAAGAGCTTTGGGTTGCTGGATGTGTTGGCACACACACACATGCTTAGGTGGTAGAAGTAGTAGAGTCCTGATGTAAGTAAAAGTTTTAAAAAGAAAAGGAAGATTTTTAGTAATATTCATGATGTTATGACACTTGAGGTCTACCAGATTTCAAAGAGAAAGCACTGTGAAGAATAAAAGATTTCAACTACCAGTATTTCACTTCATAATGTTTTGTGTAAGAAATTAATACTTCAATGTTCTGTCATGTAAATGTGCACTGGCGTCAGATCTCCATGGGAGTTTCTCCTGAGGTGTCACAAACCAGTCACTTCCCTAAACCTATTTTAAGTATCTTAAGCAGGCATTCAACTAGTCACGTCTTTCAGTTTTGAACTTTGAATGGTAAAACCTAAGGCTGTACACTCTAATAATAAGAATTAAAGACTTTAACAAGAATATTGCATAATTAAAAGTAGCTCTGTATTTTATTGTCATTATTAGATGTGTTGCTGCTGACTTTTTATTGACCTTTGTTTTCCAGTTGGAAAGTTCTTTGCACAGCTAGATAAACATGATTTTTAAGAATATCAGCATATATCTTCTGCTGCACAAGTCAATATATTAGAGTCTAGGTACTGAAAAAAAAATCTCTTTTTTTCTCCATGACTGCCAAGCTCATGGTCATACACCAATGTTAAGAAAAGTATTGAGAATCAATGGTAGAACGATGAGAAAAATAAAAGACAGAGACTGCAACCCAGAGACCCTGTTATCAGGTCAAGGAAATGTAATTTCAGTCCGATCTTCCCATCCCTTTGGCCATTTCTTCAAGAAACATATTGTCATTAATTTAAATTTAATGTGCTTGAGAAATTGCTGTCATAAGGCTTTTCTCATTGAATAGTGAGAAACCTGTGCTTTTCTACAGACTTGCTCACTGACCCTATTTAAAAAGTTTAAAATAAACCAAAAGTTAGATGAATTAGGAAGAGTCCAAGATCGAATCAGAACATGAGTAGAAAGATAGAAAATCAGGAAGTATAGTACTGGGAATTTTGTTGTGTCAAGACATAAAGAGTGCAGATCTGGAGCTGGCCAAAATAGCAATAAGGATAAGTAACTCCTACATATTTGCTACTTGCTACTTATTAGGGATAAAATATTCAGTAAAGAAATGTAGCAGAACTACATTATGAAAATATCTGAAATATAATGATAAAAATCAAGTTTGATTTAATAAAGTCAAAATATGTATTCATCTGAACGTGACTAATTTCTGTGTATTCATAGGGCAAGCTAATGCAAGCTTGATGATATAATGACTCCAAAGGAGTAAGAGAATATTGATCTTGCTAGAAATAAAATATATTTATTGAGAGCACATGTTTAGTTGTGCCAAGCCATGTTTCCTGGTCAAAATTTGTGACAGTATTAAGTTGCACAGTTATATACAACCAAAGTGTTATTCATCACAACTTTACTAATGAATCTCTGTAAGAGGCAGATCTCTGTCCAAATGCCACCATGATGCTCTGGGTCTAAGGGAAAGTCATCATCAACAAACATGCACTGCCACCTTGGTATTAAGTAGTACAGGTGAATGTTTAGGTAGCATCTTGGCTAAGGTGGTTCAAACAAGAAATGTGTTAATGTTTCATATTCTAAGTGATCATCGTATGTCCGGATCAGTTTCATTGAAGGACATCTGGAGAAATGTTCTGTTCTACTGTCTATCAACTCTGAGTTATTTTTGTAAATACTAGATTCTTAGTGACTGAAAATCTAACACAGTGTAAGAAACATAATTGAAGATCATAACACAACTGAAAGCATTATCTGTACTGTTCATTTCAAATTTCATGAATATATAAAGCACATAATTGTAAGTTTTAGGCAAAAAATTTCATTTTAGATTTACAAATGTGTGTTCTAAGAAATGGCTTTTATCTGTTTTGAGATTGATGCACTAACTAGTACATCATTTGTAACATGTAGCATTGATAGAGAAGTTCATATCCCAGAAGTATAGGTACAGAATACATACCATAATTCAGACTCTTAGATTCAACAATGTCTTCAGCATCATTTAGACCTTAGACAAATTATTTAATCTCCCTGGAATAACATTCCTCATGGAAATAATAGAGTAGATAATTATCTTAGTGTTTAATGAGGATTCAAAGGAATAATAGTGTCTTACAATAAGGAAATCTGAGTTCAGTCTTCCACCTTGCTTCTTAATGCTGGAGGGGATCTCAGAGATCATTCTATTCACTTTAGAAATAAGAAAAGTAATTTGATCTGTCTGTGTGTAAGTACGATGTCCAAGAATGTGTGCTAGTCGATGGATTAAAAAAAATGCAAGGCTAAACCCTTATTCTTATAGGATATTAAGAGTATGTTGAAATGGTTAACTAAGAATGATTTTATGTTTATGAAATGTACATATATATTTAAACATTTGAGCATGTATAAATCATTGTGTGTGACTTTGCTTCTCCACTGCCGCATCAGCCACTCGCACATTTGAAAGAAGAACGGTGTGGCATAGCATTATTTACATAATGTTTTATTTACAAGTACATCGCCTGTGACAAATACAGATTATCTGTGTTTATAGATGTATCCATATATTAGTATAAACGTATAACACTGTATTTGTGAGAGGATAAATGTTCCTTTCTCATTAAGCAAAGAGCCTCCCAGGAGTGTAAAACAGCAAGTTTTTGTGAATATTCACTATCTAAACAATATCTCTCACTTGGCATATTTAAAATGTTGAATATTTTTTCATTCAAAACTGTTTCAGAAAATGTTAAATGCAATTGCATGGTGAAAGTAATAAAAGTGAACTGCAAGGATTTATACATATCCCTTTCGACATCTCTTATTTCATTGTGCTTATACACTTCAGCAATATTTTTTGCTCCTTTGTAAAAGGTAATTCCAGCACATTTGTAAAGAAGTCACATCTCTAGAAAATGCAGAGGCAGAAATTTGAGCCAGATGGAGGCTATCCCGTCGAAAGCCTGTCGGTGTCTGATCATTCAAATGGGCAAAGTGCCCCAGCCTTTGGAGATAATCCCATATAGTCCCCATGAGCAGAACCATGGCAGAAGCACTAACACGGGAGCAGCCCTCCCCACCAAAATTCTTGAACAAGATGAAAAATAACAGATTGATTTCACCTTAATTTTTCAAAACAAAACATCCCCCAAATCTTTGTCTCAAATTGATCAGTGTTGGTTAATAAGGCTACAGTACATTGCTGGGCCAGTTTCCGGTTGGGCAGAAGTGGCGCACACCTTTAATCCCAGCACTTGGGAGGCAGAGGCAGGTGGATCTGTGAGTTCAAGTCCAGCCTGTTCTACAGGGCTAAACAGAAAAAACAAAACAAAACAAAAATCCTGTTGAAGGAAAGAAAGAAAGAGCAGACAGACAGAAGGAAGAAAGGAAAGAAGGAAGAAAGGAAGGAAGGAGAAAGAGAGGCAGAGAGAGAGAGAAAGAAAAGGAAGCAAGGGGAGAGAGAGAGAGAGAGAGAGAGAGAGAGAGAGAGAGAGAGAGAGAGAGAGAGAGAGAGAGAGAGAGAGAGAGAGACTAAGTTTCTGTTTTACTCCTCTGATGGAGCAGCGAAGGGCATTAGAACACACTGAAGAAAAATCCTGGTTTGGAGGTTGGTTTTGCTTGTTTGTTTGTTTGTTTTCCTTTAATACTTAATTGTTGAAAGATTTGGGAAGAATGTTTAAACATTTTTGAACTTCATTTCCCTTGCTTATGAGATGTCAGAAACCTGTAGGGTCTTCCACTCCAGCCATGAGT